GGCAGCAGCACTGCCAGTGTACCGGCAACAATAAATCATCAATCATCATCATTCTAAATTATCATTATTTTTCTCCAAAGGAGTGGCAAATCGAATAACAGCCTGAGATCGAGCCGCGGCCAGGGTGCCGATTGGTCGGGCCTTCGCCCGAACCACCACCGACAAATCCGACAGCAGGCGAGCAGGCCCCCCAGAACCCCGGACAACCATCTCAAGCACAAAACAACACTCATCGCAATTTGCACATTCATATGAATGAATATCATTCGCTTTTCTAAATGACCTTACAACCCCAGACAACCCCACCCTAAGTACCTCGAGGCGCCTCTCTGTAAGCGCGCGCTAACTCGCTCTTACACTCCCTTGGTTCTCGCGCAGGTGTTGTATCTCGGCCTGTGCCTTGGCAAGCTCAGCTTGTACATCCCGCAACGACTCTGTCAGCTCCTGAAGCTTGGCGTCCTTTGCCTCGAGGAGCTCCTGCATGCTGCTCCGCAGGTCCGCGAGCTCAGCTCGGTGTCGCTCCGCCTGTCGCTCGAGCTCAGGCTCCGCCTTGAGGCCATGCCCCGCACCCGTCTCCGCGAGCAGCTTGCGCTCATCTACCATATTCTGTTGGATTCGCAGTGGCGCGGGTGAGAAGCCGATGATCTTGCGGATGATGCGGTGCGCTGACTCGACGGTGTTGTCATGTCGCATCATGTGTGCACCCTTCTCGAATGCGAGCTTGAAAAAGAGGTCGCTGTTCGTTATCTCCCGCTCGCGCGCGGCACCAATGCTAGGCTCGACGTCGCCCCACATGTTTGTGATAATGACGACGCTCTTCAGAGTTTCGTCGCCGCAGAGCTTGCGGAAAAGCCGAAGATTCTTGCGCCCGATGCCACCCATGCGGGTGTCCGTGATGCGCGTCAGGTAAATGACGCCGTTGAGGGTGCGTCCTTGCTTGTATCTACAATGACATGTCAGACGCAAATCACAGGCACACGGGCGGCAGAGCGTACGTCACGGCCAGGAAGTCAGCGATGAGCCGGAGGATCTCAGCCTCGGTCTTGACGGTGTCATCGAACCCCGGGGTATCGATGAGGGTGACCATCTTGCCATCAAGCATGAAAGGTAAAGCAACCTCGACTTCTGAGGTGCACGACTCCAGGCCATGGCCAACCTTCAATTTGGAGTCGCTAACGAGATTGATGAACTTTTAGGGAAAGGGATCTCAGCAGCCGCGGAGATACGTGCTACGGTAAACCTGCATAGCTTACCGTCGACTTTCCTGCGCTGGTCGCACCCATGACACTATCTACGAGTTAACTTGGCAGTCGGTAACAAGGACGCGGGACGTACGCAATGAGGGCGGCATCGTCACTTGTACTATCCAGTTCTTGTACAAGCTCCTCACGCACTTTCCTGAGCTCGGCCTCCCCGTCCGAGCGAACGAGGTGCGTACTAAGCTCTCCTGAAGGTGCTCTTGCATCTTCCGGTGTAACAAATCCGACTATCAACGGGTCATGAGTTTTATGGATGATGACAGACGAATTCATGATATTACCGCCATGGTCATCTACTGCGATGCGTGGGCGCTGGCTTTGAAGCATTGGCATTATACTTCCAGGTGAGCCTTTTTGATTGTAAGATGCGGGTACTGTGACGGATTTAGTGTGCACTTACCATCGTTTGAAATCCCCAGCAGAAACAGATCATCGTGAGACGCAATAGCGGAGGTTGCATTTGAGTACTGTCGGAGAAGATGTCGTCCAGCTACTTCTTCCCATTTAAACAAAAGCACCAACATCTAAAATGTAGTCCAGCAGATCTTCCAGTGCGTCGCGAAGCTGAATGCTTGGAAATGAATCTCTGATGATAGTGTTCCCAGTGATTGTCGCTTCATACCTTCTTTGTCGGAGGGTGCATATTCACCGCAACTAATATGAAAATGTCAGTATCGACCACTTAGAGTTCGCTTGTGTAGACTGATCACCGGATGAACACACATCTTCCAGATCCTCAGAATCACCCATGTCCCTGGGCTCCGCCCCCGCTACGATCTTCATTGGGAGAAAGCGACGGTACTTGGCTTTACAATACCTGACAAACAGACACTGGTTCCGCCTATGGCCTGCTGGAGTATCCAGATTCTGTCGCTTCGGTCCACTTCGCTGGCTGACTGACGCCACCGCCTCCTCTGAGCGCTCGATCCCAAACTCTGCAGATGCGATGCTCCCCTCTGTACCAAATGAGATTGAATGCGACTTGCCGCGGTTTGCGACGGCCGCGACGGCCCACTCTGAGGTCTTAAGCCAGCCGATTACCAAGACGATGTCCTCTGGGGAGATCTCGCGGCCTTGGTCTATCGCAAACCTGTGCCACGACGAATGGTGAAGCCTGACGTACTCGCGGGTGCGCGGATTTGCTTGTACGTGCGACAAGGTGACGTCGGAGCCGGGCACTAAGATTGCACCTTCTCGTTTTTTGCACTCAAACTTGTATGATATAGAAACGCCCTTACTTCTTACCGCACGTCGGAAAAACTTATGCAAAAGACAAGAACAGAAACTCACGCTGTTGCCCCTGCTTCACCTTTGAACTGGGAGATCGACTTGCTGTAGATCGGCTTTGGAGGCAAGTAGTTTTCCTTGGTCTGCAAAAGAGCTCGCTTGTTGTACTCGAGTGGGACATAGCCATGCGGGACTCCAAAATCTGCATGTACTGGGTCTTCTGCGGCGAGAGTACAATTGAAGAGCCGGTAAAAGCACCCATCTTCGATGAATCCGACGTCCCCGATGAGGATCTCACCGTATTGAGAGGGTTCAGGTTGCCACAGCGGCTCGCCATGTCCGTGGTTCCGCAACTGATCTGCGTATATGAGGGAGGCCTCAGAGTGGAACATACTAAATTGTGAGTGGGTGAGCGAGGCAGGGACAAGGGTGAGGAGAGGAGATAGCTGTGACGTTCACAGCACACTAATGCAGGATACAGAGCCTTACCATTGTCACAAGGTCACGTTGAGGATCCCGATGAGCGCGCCTTTAGCCTTTACTAAGGATCTTTCCGAAGCGCTGCTTCTGCCGTGAGACCCCAGTGAAAGGCAAGCCGAGCATATTGAAGGCTGCTCGGCGCCTGTACTAGCTGCACGCGTTCGTGATATCCGCCACCGCGTGCGGGCAGCTTGTCATGCATCGCACTGGCCGTATCGCCCCAGATGAAATATATGTCAGATATATCGGTGTTCTGCATGGAGAGAGCAGATATCGAGAGCAAAGTAGTTGCATACGATGACGGTTCTGGATAGTAGACAGACAATGTGCAATGGCAAAGCTTTCTGTAGCACTCTTTCGGAGCTGGAGACCTTCCACCTTCGTTTCACCAGCAAACTGCTGCCAATATATGTCATCCGGGATCACAGCTCCCAACCTCGCGCCAAACTAATCTTTTAATACTCATTCAAGTCTTGCAAAGCTGCACCCTCGACCGAGGTGTTGTCATCTCAGTTACATTCTCTATAGCCCTCAGCTTGTGCACCAACTACATGAAGGCAAATGGCTCCAGTATCGTTATGCCGCAGGAGCAGGGAGATCATGGCGAGCTCGCCATAACTCTTGTCATTGGCGGCGCTCCTTTGATCAGCCGGCAAGGTACGCCATGTCTTGTGTCCTGCACAACGCCTGGTGTTGAACATTTGCGGTAATTCCGGGCCTGTTCACGAGGCCCTCTAGCCTCTCGCTTATTGTTGCAACTGGTCCAAGCATAACCGGGTACCCTTCTAAGAAGTCTCTTGGTGCCACGCCTGCCGCCACAGACTTCAACCTGCCGCCACCGATCGACCTCCCTGCCATAGACAAAACGACGCAAATAAAGTTTGTCACAATTGCATGCGTCTAGCTAGAGATCGTAGGCTGCTACATACAATGTTATCTAGGCAGCAAGCTCATGATTGACCTGGTGCTACAAGAAGCAATGTGGGGAAATAAAAATGCCTAGCATGTCTATGAATTGGACACATCTTTTGATACAGCGGCTGTATACATTAAAATATACAGTCGTGTAGCCTAATAGGATATCTGCAGTAAAATTAATCTATGTGCATAATTTCAACATGTGATGTAGGACTTGAATATTGGTATAAGCATGGTATAAAATGAAGCACCTGAGGCCATAAGCAATGCCTGATGGAAGAAAACACATGGCATGCGGGCTCTACTTGAAATTGTTGAAGATCCACTCTGGTGGAAGCTCAAGATACAGATGAAGTTGCAATTCTGCAGCAGTCAGACGTTCATTGGGATTCCTGGCAACAAATTGATCAGTACCATCCAAAGACCAGTAATGTCTAGCTCACATTGCAAAGCACTTCTTATGTCGTCGGCAAGCGATGACAAAGTGATATCTTTGAGGACAGGTGGTCCCTGCTTGGTTTGACGTATCTGGAATAGCGTCAGAATTTTAGATACTCACATTCTTTTTTTTTCTCTCCTGAATTTAAAGTGCTATCTACGGAGGATAATGTACACCTGTCTACTAGTGTCTGTGCGCAATAAATATCAGCGTCTATAGTGGCGCAGGAGTCCGAGGCTCCAATAAATAGTAGACAAAATCAAAGACCAAAATGTCTCATTGCTCACTGTCTAATGGTGAGCATGGCCATGCTGCAACTATTTGTGCAGCATACGGAGCCGGGGCTACCTCCTCCCTGTTGGATTCAGACAATAATGTCTGAAAACTGAAGGGGGGAGATCCTGCATAGTCAGAAAATGACAGATCATCCACATGAATGAGTGTTTTAGATTCTTTACTGTCATTGCCACATTGTGTGACTTCCATTTTGAGAGGAACATGAGCTGCAACAAGAACTGACTGTAGCCAGTCCAGTGTGACATCCCGAAACAGCTGGTGTCCTTCAGGATGGTGTTGTCGGTACTTGGCCCATATGTGTTTGATGGGCCATTGTGTTCTGCTGTTTAGCCATTGTAAGAATGGTGTTGGGCACTTGTCTTTGTGAGTAGCCCATTTGTATTAATTGTAGAGCATTGGCCTCTGTAGCACAATTATGTCAAACACAATGTTGACAATGTGGTACTTTCAATCTGAGGTATTGGCATCACACAGTGGAAACACATCTGTTTGCATGTGTTCCATCAAGTCCTGCCACTCAAAGGTTCCAACAAGTGGATTGAGCAACAGAAGTTCGTGTATGTTATCAATTGTGACTACCTGCTCCTTGTTTTGGAGCTCAAGCTGTTTTCCTGCTGAAATCAGCTCTAGTCGAGTTTGATCAGGCGCACATTTAGGTGGTTTGATATTGCTTTTTCTTATCCAGTATGGGCATTCATACAAGATATGATCTCTTGTCTCATAGGCATTTGTGCATAAACACGTTCGACTGCCTTCAAGATTCATTTTATTATGGAATTCTCCATGAGAAAAATACCCAGTTATGAATCTGGTCATATGCACGTATAAGCGGTGGTCATGCCCAAATTTCTGAAGAAAGTAATGTTTGCTATCAGGAATGATAAGCTTGTGTTCTGTTTGTTTTAGCAAAGTGGAATGACCACGGTATTTGATACTGTTCATCATTATCTGCCAGCTTTTACAAGCTTTAACCTTAGTAGCTGCTTGTGCTGCAGCATATGATGATCCATTTTGGGTTGGCTAGTCCTATTGCAGGCAGCCTCACTAGCAAGTTTGTCCACTGTCTCATTAAAGCGAGTAGACCAGCTGTCCATCTGGGTCTTTTCTGAACATGACAGGGGACCCATGCAATACACACTTTGTGTTGACTATGTGCACTGAGGAATTTTTTCAGGGCAATAAAAGCTCTGATAGAATGAATTTGGCCACCTTTGCAATCTCCTTTGAAGATGAGAGTCCAGCAGCAACA